ACAAACTTCATCACAGTGTCGTACGGGAACTGCATTACTCAGGGCAGGAAGGCTCTCCAGCATGTTGTCAAAACGGCACACCACATCTGAGGAGTACCCCTACCACCACTGCAGGACATTTACAACATTCAGTGAGGAAAAGGGCACACAACATCATCAAGGACAGCACCCACCCACAGTACACATTGTTCACATCTCTGCCATCTGGTAGATGCTACAGGAGTGTGAAAGCAAGGACAACCAGACTAAAAGACAGTTTCTATCCACAGGCCATCAGGCCACTGAATCACTGAATATGTCAAACTGTTTATCCATAACTGTAAATTTGCAATTTTGCACAATTCCACACAACGTAATACAACTGTAAATACCCATAACCTGTAAATTTGCAATGTATTGCTACATATATATCCTAATATTGCATATTCTGTGTATATTATCATTGCTCTGTCTCACCATTTGTGACACCAAGCGTACCCTGCTATGACAAAAGCAGTAAACAAAAAACAAGTCAGAAGAAAATGCACTTTTATTACTACTACTACTTCTATTAGTCATGATAATAATAATAATAATAATAGATCAACATATTGCTGGGAAGCTGTTATGTGTCTTATGTGTCTAATATTTACGTCTTTTCTCTATTCTCCTTTTAGTACCAATTCCATTTTTAAAAGAAATCTTGTCTGCCACTTGTCAGTTTTTCCTGGCAGTTCAGGTCTACAGTTGCTCCTAAACTGCTGGTTAAGGCCAGATTTGCACATCAAATTCATGAGAAACAAAGGTGCAGTTCATGATGATGGGTGTGACAGGTGTTGTTGATGTGGTGAATGTTTCAGTATAATACCAAGGAAATCGTCTTCCAAGAAGTTTTCAGACTGGAAGAACTGGAAATCGCAGACAGCACAGTTTCTGTTGGTAGCACGCCTGTTTTTCTGTGAAGCAGTGCTGACGCCTCATTTCATAAAGGGTGTTTGGTTGGCATACACCCACATCTGTATGTGTGCAGTGCTTGAATCTGTGAATTCTGCTATCTTGAGAAAAGTTAAAACAATGACGTTCAAAGAATTAGACTTTTGGAAAAAAATCTTTTCCTTAATGAGTTTAATCCTTAAAATTGCTTAACTGTTGCCCATTCTGGTCCCAGGGATCCAACAGACTATGGTCACATGAGTCTCTACCCTCATATTTCTAGCAATAAAACTAGTATGTTTAGGGTCTTTGCTTAGTGGGGAAAAAAGTATGGTAACATAAACAGGCTGGTGGTGTCCCAATGTCTTCTGTTTTGAACTCCCTTTTCACAGTCACCCAGCTGGCCTGAGTTTGTAGTCTTCAATGAAAGTTTTCAGACTTCATACACAAGAAGCCACAAGCAGTAGAATTTTATGCACAGCACACGTGGTCTTTGTAAATCAGTAACAACATTTCATTTACCAAGGTTGAACTAAAACACAAACAATGGTGGTTTTGATAGGACAACTTGCTTGAGTCAAAGAAGTCAAAGACGTCTTCTCTATGTTGGACAAAATAACAAGAATATTCAAGAAAATTACCACATGAAAATTAGGGAGAGGGACAGGAACCTACAATAAAATCGATCACACGCTAAATTGTGTTTCACTTTAATCAGAGCCAATCGGCATTCTTGGAGGCGTGTTTTGGAGTGTGCTCCTATAAAGGTTTCCAAACATAACTTCTTAAGCAAGTAATACAAAGCTTGCGATACAAGAAGGGTTGGAAATGGCAACCAATGGTAAGACTTTGTCAAAATTATTTTGATGCTACATATTAATGTTGACGATTTTGCTGAAAATTAAAATGCTCTCTCCTGCTGCTGTGTGTTTAAAATAGCACAAAGAGCACAATTAAATTCAGTTGATGAATAGCTGCTCAATCTGAAAGTGATGTTGCAGAGGAGGACAAGACAGAAACATTAAGTATGGCCAGAAAGTTTGACTCACATATGCTGTTTATTAAATACATACAGAATGTCATCTGTTCTTTACCAGTTATGTCTGTGCATTGTTTTTGATTTGGTAGAAAAGTTATCCAGAGCATAAAATAAAAGATTTTAAAAATCTGTATTTAGATTAAAGTTGTTTTCCTCTAGGATTATAGTTCATCTTTGTGTTCAAGGAGTGACTGTGCACACTTGCTGTTCAGTGCTCTTCAGTTACATTTCAGTTTCAGTTATAATGTTGTTTTCTTGCTGTTATTTGAGATAAACTGGTTATTAAAAATGTGTCAAATGTGTATTATTCTACAAATGGCTTTTGTGTTTTGCATCTTTTAATTCTGCTGCATTTTTATTTATACAGACAATCTACAGACAATGAACAAAAACAGAAACTATTTGGTTGAAAACCTAAGCAAATCAACATTTAAGGATCTCCTGGATGACCTTCTGCAAGATAAAGTCCTGAGTGATGCAGAGAGAGATGAAATTCTTGAAACAACTCCAGTCACAAAAGATCGGGCTCGCAACCTTGTTGACGTGGTGAAGAGGAAAGGAGAGCAGGCAGTAAGTTGCTTCCTGGATCATCTTGAAAAACGAGATGAGAATCTTTACAAGAACCTACCTGAACCGCCGAAAGGGAAGTCTACGCAGAAACCAACAGGTGAGTGTGACATTCTGGAAGTTCAACTTACACATGGCCAGCATCAGCAAATGACAAAGAAATATATATGTGAAGTTTTCATCGGTGGTCTAATATATGTTGTGCTGTGTTTTGGGCTCTCTAGGTGAAAGAAGATCATTCGCGAAGGACAGGCCCAAGCCTGATAACTTCTGAAAATTCAATCCAAAGTGTAACTGCATGAATCAATTACCTCAATAACTTCTTTAAATGTGAGCAAGATGGGCGATTACCAGTGATAACTGTGCCATTTTCTGTAATGTAAATAGACATTAAAGTCAAACTCAAATGATCATGCCATATTTTTTTCCTGAATCACAATTACTCTCCTCACAGCTTTCCATGTTTCCTTGAGAAGATGTAAATCCATGGAACACCGGGCCAGAAATTAAAAATAGCAGTACAGGAAAAAAAGGAAAGATGAAACACTAATTACTAAAAGTATAATATTTGGATAACCATGCAATCCCTGAGTAATAAAGTTGTAATTTCTGTGCACTACTAAATATTTTTAATACAGCAAACCCATGATAATACTGTTTACGATTTGCTATTACTATATTTATTTGCTGAAATACCTCATACTGATGCAATCATTAATCCTGTATGTTAAATAGGCTAAAATGTACAGGTTAACTTTGATGGGTCAAAACATACAAAGATGCATCACATTAATAAAGGTCAACTAAGTAACTCAAGTTATTATTGGTGTATTTTGTCATAATATGAAAGAGAAAATATAAAGACATTAATCACATAATTTGTAAAGACTCTGTTTCCATTCCATATCTTCATTCTGACACACACTAAATTGGCAAAAGTGGTCAGTCATCCATCCTAATCACTGAATTCAGGTGTTACAGTAACATCCATGACCATGGGATTATAAAATCAGCACCCAGGCATACAAACTGTTTCTACAAATAGATTGTGAACTAATAGATTGGTCTCTGGAGCTCAGTGAAATAAAGCATGGTACCATGATAGGATGTTACCTGTGCAGCAAGTGCTGTCGTGACATTTCCCACTACTAAATAATCCACAGTCGGCTGCTAGTGGGAGTTAGCGTTAATTTGGAAGCATGACCCATTTAAACATTTTACTACAAGTATGTGCACTTACTTTACTGTCCCCACATCATTGATGCCTATGGGGGAACCGAAACAATCAGTCACATTTAACTGTGGAAGAACTACCTCCAGAAGTGTCAAAGAGTGTGAATGAATTAGTTGCATGAAGCGCTTTGAGTGCTTAGACAGAGAAGAAAAGCGCTCTATGAGAACAAGTCCATATACTAAACAGCACAAATACTATGACTTGGCAAAAAACTACATTTAGCACTAATTCTATAACATAGCAGGAACACTATAATTTAGCAGAAGTACTACATTTGGCACAAATACTAGAATTGTACAGAACTGTAATGAATTAGCAGAAATATTGAACAAGGAAAACAGTAAGCTGAAAAAAGCTGCACAAGCTGAAGTCCTGTCAAAAGTAGTAGTTGTTGAATGGGGAGAAATTGGCAGAAAATGTACAGAGGTAAGAGAGCACCAGAAAAACGAAGCTAAACAGCCGGTAGATAGACCACATTCAAACATAAACACACACATACTATTAAATCTGATTCTTTTCTGGCAGAGAAACACGACTCAGTGTGGTCAAAGCTAAAAAAACAACTTTATTCTACATTTCCAGAAAAGGAGAGCTGCGGATGCTAGCAAGCATCAACAGCTCGAAAAGCATTACAAGCCGAATGAATATATAGTTCTCTTATACGTTACACACGGTCACACACAGTTTCGATCACAACAACCAACAGCCTAGTTTCACTTTCTGTCTGCAACGCTTCCTGATCTCTGCATAAAGTTTCCTGTCAGTACTTTTGACACTCACTATGGCGTTCTCCTACTCTGGCCTCTATAAAACAATGTAAACAGAAAATAAGCACTAATAACATATATTTATTCTTTAACAACACAAACATACACACACAAGGATTTAAAGAGAAACACACACAGAGCATGGAGTGTCCTGTGTGTCTCTATGCCAGCCAATCACTCTAAATAATAATAATAATAATAATAATAATAATAATAATATTAAATTCCGTTCTTTTGACTTGACTCAGGGTGGTCACAGCTCAAAAAATGATCTTTATTTTACATTTCCGGAAATGGAGACCTGAACACAAACACACAAGCTCAGGTCTGAATTCTTTGCCAGCTAAATCCGTATATAAATTTCTGCACTACGTCACACTGACACACAGTTTACTTAGTTTGTCTTGATGCATCTCAATCATCCAGGGAAGTAAATCTCCAAAAGTTGATTCTGTTCATGTGGATGTGGATCATGTGGCCGTAGCGTTTTGTGGGAGAAACGTTTCGTCATCATCAGGTGACGTCTTCAGTCTCAGCTGCAGGTTTCAATCTTATAAACAGGACATTTGCATAATGACTGAAACCAGCCCACTGAAGGAACAATGGGCTGGGAGGTCAGTTCCTTCATCATAATTATGTAAATTCTGATCAGTGGTCTTTGATCAGTGGGTTTTGGTCAGTGGTTGTTGATCAATGCACACAGAGCTCCGCGTCTGGGTCCTCCTTCCTCACTTCCTCACGGTTGGCCATCATCAACCGTGACAGAATGACCCTCCAAGCATGGACCAAGTGGCCTCTGAGGAGAGGCGGAGGGAAGTAATGGACAAGATTTATAAACTGTGTGATCTGTGGTGGTAGAAGCCCGGGCAAGTGTTGCATCGCGCCGTGGAGAGGCGGCTGCAGGAGACGCTTTTTAAATTTCCCTTGCTGGTTGACGATCTCAAACCAATGGTCATGAACTTCTTGCTCTCAACCCTCCACTCTCCTACTCAGGCTGCTCACCGGCCTGGACAGCCGGTGGATTCACAGCCTGACCCGACGTCTACACGGAAACGACGTTTGTGTCGCCGTGGCTCCTCACCGCAGCCGGATTCCCGGACATCTCAAGTAGGGGTGGGTTTTGATGATTGATTTATCGATTAAAATCGATCTTAGCTTGGATAACGTGATATCGATTCATTAAAATCCTGAATCGATTTTTTAATATAAATTTATTTTGCCTGAAACGCCAGAATCTCAGGTTAAACCTCACAAAATTTCTACAACCACCAAACAGCTAAAACAGTAAATGACAGCAGGAACACTGCTTCTGCACAAAGACGTGAACACAAACCGTTTACGGATCAGAATCGCCTTTCTCACCCGATGGCCGTGTCATGCGCAGCTCTCTCTCTCTCTCTCTCTCTCTCTCTCTCTCTCTGTACTTCAAGAACAGTTTCCCGTCAAAAAATCTGTTTTCTTAATTATTCGCTTGCTTGTTAGGCACAAGTCTACCGTTGTTTACAGGCTGTCGGCCGCTGCTCACCCCCCCTTTTACTTACTACTTAAGAAAACCTCATTTCTGCTGTTCAATACTGAACAAATTTAAACTTTTTAAAATTATGCAAAATTGCAAAACCCCGTGTCTCTAAAACCTCTGTAACTTTGCTCTGCTTCACTTCAGCAGCATCAGGTGATGTTCAGATGTTGATTCATGTTTTTCTTTCGTTTTTGATCTACTGCAGAATATTTCTTAAAATCCAGGCCAGGAAAATCGCCTTCATGTTTTTGTTTTATCCTCAACTTCTTTGACACAAAGGCCTCTGCTGTGATGCTGTCTGAAGCTTCTGAGGCTACGTTCACACTGCAGGCGAAAGCGCATCAAATCCGATTTTTTTGCGACCCATATCCGATCATGGTGTGACAGTGAACAGAGCGTGTTGTGCGTGACGTCTTCTTTTGCGCATGCGGGCGCTTTGAGGATTCACACAGGAGCGCATTTGCTGTCACATTTTATCTGTAGTGTGAACGAGCAAAAACATCGGATTTGGTCAAAAAATCAGAATTGAGCATCAAGACCTGCAGTGTGAACGTAGCCTATCATCTCCTTGAACTCTTCATTGATGGTGATTTGTGGCCCTCTGCTGGTGAGAAGATGAACTGCACGATGTCAGTTTAAGCACTTTAACATAGTTAGATTTAGCATAAGATATAAACACGTTATAACAATGTGTCATCACTAAATTATAAATTTCCTGTCCAAATCTGCACTTCTAAACAGACCTGACCACCTTATTTAATTATCCACTTTCTTACGACACAGCAATTTGAAACAGTAATCCACGCTTTTGTAACCGTTCGGCTGGATTACTGTAATTCTCTTTATGTTGGGGTGAGTCGATCTTCTGTTTTTCGACTGCAGTTAGTCCAGAATGCTGCTGCACGCCTTTTAACTGGCACTCGTAGATGCGAGCACATCACCCAGTTTTATATTCACTTCATTGGCTGCCCGTGCATTTTAGGATCCATTTTAAGCTGCTTTTATTTGTTTTTAAATGTTTGTCCAATGCTGCCCCTCTGTACCTCTCTGAGCTTCTTCATCCATACATACCTTCCCGGTCCCTCAGGTCGGCAGACCAGCTCCTCCTGAGCGTGCCCAGGACTAATCGTGAGCTCAGAGGGGATCGGGCGTTTGCTGTGGCAGCACCAAAACTGTGGAATGAGTTGCCTTTACATGTTAGACAGGACCTTCCTTATCTGTTTTTAATCACGTCTTAAAACATATTTATTTACCTTGGCTTTCAGCACAGCAGGACTTGTTGACGTCTCTTAATATGTTTCTTATTAATTATATTACTTTTAATTTTAAGATATTTTATATGTAATTTAAACTGTTTCCTCTCTGTTTTACATTTGTAGCACTTTGGTCAACATTGTTGGATGTAAAGTGCGTTATAAATAAAGATGCTATGCTGTGCTATCCTGTTACTTTACCATTATATATTTCACCAAGTAATTCTTCTCAGTCACAGCTATGTTTCCTCGATTGAAAGCCTCTGATACCCAGCCACACAGGAAGCTTCTTTCTCACCACTCATTTCAGCTAATTTGCATACTGAGTCATATCTCAGGAAGTTACCGTGAATATCTTACTACATTATTAAATTATTTTCTTCCTAGGGTAATCACTAGTTTTGCTCCATCGACACAAGAGCACTTCCAATTCACTATTTTAAAACTACTTTAAGCTTTTAATCACTTTTTCATTTTCACCAACGTCACTCCCCTGTCATGAAACTTTCCTGAGTTATTCCTCAAGTTCAGGGTTTAAGTGTGTTCACACTACTTCAACACTGATAAACAGACTCACATGCTCAACATGCTGTCTAATCCTCATGAGCTCTCTTGTATTTGTAAGCTTAATGCATTT